CACGGGAGTGTGGGTAGGTTTAGGCCTGGCCACTAAGTGGTAAAGCAGGAATTCTACAGTCTTCATATCTTTTTGCATCAAAATTCATGCAGGTAAACTTCTCCTTGTTGTTTCTCCCAAATGAAGAACATTTGAACTCGAAACTTTGCAAATCACCATCACACAAAGTACTAGCATGTGCAGAAATGTCTTCCGTATTTTTGGCGCAACAATATTTTTAAATGGTACAACTCATTTGAAATTTAAAAATTTGATAATGTTATGTTTCATCAAAAAAATCGGAAACATTTTATACAAAGAGTGACACTTGTGCATAGTTGACCTGCAAGGTGATATGTTATCTTATTTTGAAAGAAACGAAAAAGAGAAGTTTCAATATAAAGATAGCACAAATCTTGATGCAAACAATGGTCTAAAACTCTAGGTAGAATGTGTATCTACATGATGACTACTCCCTCCGTAAATAAATATAAGAGCGTTTAGTCACTAAAGTAGTGATCTAAACGAGTATTTAACCAAAAACTACCACAATTCACGGAAACGTGACAGAAAACTACCACTTTACGATTTTGTCCCGAAAACTACCACTTTTTTATTAATCCGTGACAAAAAACTACCAAGTGTGAGAACTGCTCGCTTTGCCTGGGTTAAACGCGAATCTGACTGCCCGACCCCACACATAAACGGGCTAAAAATGCAATCGGGTCCTCCCCATGTCGTTCTCCTTCCCCTCCACCTGCCGCGCCGCAGCAGCTCCTCGCCGCCCCACGTCTCGCTCTTCCGCACGGCCACCGGCCGCGCCGCGCCACTCCTCACGATGGACTGCCACGCCGAGTCCATCGACACGTCGTCCACGCCAATGGCCTCGGTCGCGGCGGTAGAGGGCCTCGGCTTCTCCTCCTCGTTGCGTTCCTTCTTGGCCTCGGGCTTGGCCTCCGCCGCGGTGCCTCCCACCGTGGTCGTGCCCTCGCCGACGAGCTTCTTCCGCACGCGGGGGCGGTCAACCGGCGTCTTGGCCGTTCTCGCTTCCCGCGGCCGGCTCGTCGAGACGGGCGCCGGCGGCGCGACGACAGCGTCAGGAGCGGCAGCAGCAGCCGTTCCCGCCGGGCCTCGACAACTACGTGGACTCGCCGCAGCAGCAGCCGTTCCCGTCCGCCGGCGGCAAGCGGCTGGGGAAGGAGGAGGCCGGCGACGAGGAGGAGAAGGAGGCGGAGGACCCAATTGCTTTTTTGAAGAAAAACTAGGGACCCGATTGCATTTTTAGCCCGTTTATGTGTGGGGTCGGGCAGTCAGATTCGCGTTTAACCCAGGCAAAGCGAGCAGTTTTCCCACTTGGTAGTTTTTTGCCACGGACTAATAAAAAAGTGGTAGTTTTCGGGACAAAATCGTAAAGTGGTAGTTTTCTGTCACGTTTCCGCGAATTGTGGTAGTTTTTTGTTAAATACTCGATCGAAACGCTCTTATATTTGTTTATAGAAGGAGTATATGGGTTCCAAAAGCCCCAAAGACGGAACCTTTTTTTCTCCATTGCTCCACCTATTTTCTTCTTTTCCTTCTTGTGTGCGTCGTTGCCGTAGAGCACGACGTTGATATTTCCATCTCCGAGCTCATCTTCTCGGAGATCATGGCATCCCCAGTTGCTAGCCGTTGCTGTCATGGTTTCTTATTCGGATGCAACCGGAAGTGCTACCGGGGATTTCACATACCGTACGTGCGATCAAATGTTCCTTTATTGTTGGTTAGTCAGGCTAGACTTGAGTACAAGCCACTGAAGCCAGTCTCCTTAATATTTTTTGCACAAAAAAAATATCCTTCTTGTGTTGTTTGCTCGAAGATAGTACTACACGCATGAAGCACATGCAGATAGTCGAAGAGAACAATTAATTTTCATTTGGTTCCTGCCGCAGCAAGGTTTACTTGAGATTTCCTCTCTCAGAAAAAAAAGGTTTTACATGAGATTTCTTCAGCTTTGGGCAGGTGCCTAGCTCTCACATGCTTCTCTGTTCAATTAGGAATGCTCCCTATGCAAGCATGGATGCATTTTTTTCCTCTTATTTTCGTCATTTTAGAGGAAAATTTGATTTTACTAAACATAATCTCTTGGGCTTTGAATACCTGGTACTGTACCAAAGCAACCACTAATTGCACAAAATCTGTAACTTCTTTTGAAATTTTGTGCTGGAACTTGATCTAGTCCTCCCTGTAACTTTTTGGCATGCATGCGTCAATGCACATTTCCTTTGTTTCTGCCTTCAAAGTTCCATCAGGATATCAGTCATGAGAGAGAGACAAAAAGTGAGGACCTACTCCTCCATGACTTCATCTCCACCGTTTTGTAATTCTGTTCAAAACATCTGAATTCCATGTTAATTTGCAAGTCTTCATGACCACATCCATTGTCCATCAACAACGGCAACCTTTTGCACTGTAAACGTAGCCTCCTTCTCCCTATGTACCACTATTCACTTTTCATGCTTTCTACTAGTTTCTCTGCACTTCTGTTCCTCTGATTATCACCTTTTTTTTACTGCAATTGACCTTTCCCCTGTGAACCTTTGCATGCATGCATGCAAGCATCAAAAAATGGAGTACAAATCATGAACATGGCATATTATTCATCAATTCACACCAGTCTCAGCTCTGAACATCGATGACTAATCAATCAGCATGCACTCATTTGTCATGATTAAGCAATTAGCAGCTTGGGATCAGGATCGGAATTCAGAACTCGATCCTCCCCAAGCTCCATCAATGGCACGCATCTAAGCAACAGCAAAAAAGGAAAGAAAAGATAAGGAATACTCCATAGCTACTGCTTCTACAATGCAACACAACCTACTAAGTAGTACGATGCGATCATGCCATGGCCATGGCTTGGATGATGATGATATATATGATCAACGAGCTTCGAAGGAGTTGATTCATTCATGTCATCCTGAGGCTGAGGTACTGGCACTGCACCAGCTGCCAGGGCGACTGGTGCTGCTTCATCGCCTCCGCCACGCCGAGGTCGAACGTCATGGCTCTCTGGCATGGCGGCGGAGGCGCGGCCACCCCCGGGTAACCGCCGTGGAGCGCCACCCCGAAGGCGCTCTCCGAGTACTCGGCCGACGACGGCGGCGACGACGAGAGGCTCGTGCCGCCGGAGCAGTCGGAAGCGAAGGGTGAGGAGAAGCCGCCGGCGCCGTCGTGTTTGGCATGTCCTCTCTTGCTAACGTTGTTCTTGCGGGAAGTGCCGGAGCCGGTCCTCCTCCCTCCCACGGCGAGCGTCAGCTCCAGCTCTGCTCCGGTGCCGCAGCCGTCGTCGTCCTCGTCGGCGGCTCCGACTATGTACTCGTCGGCGGGGAGCTGCAGGTTGAGCGCCCGGCGTGGCTGCTTGTTGCCGCGCCGCCGCGGCTGCCGGCGCGTGCTCAGGTCGCCCCCCATGAGCTGTGTCTGGATGCGGTACAGGCGGTGTAGCTCGTGAACCTGCGCAAGGTGATTATCAATAAATTAGCAGTTCATAGCACGCAACAGTTTGCTATGGTGAAGAAGAAGTGAAGAAGATTAATTGCTAACCTGTTGCCTGAAGGTCTCTTCGTGCTTGAGCATGGCCATCTTCATGACCTCCATGTCACATTGCCTCACAAGCTTGCCCATCTCTCCTCAAACTCAAAACTTGCTCTAAACCTGCTGAAATGTAGAAGAAACTTTATTTAAAATTTCAAAAACTTGCAAGCATCTATCTATCTGAAGGAAGGAACTCTGGTCATGCTTGACAACATGGTTCACGATGGTGAACAACCTCTGACTGTGCCAGAGATGCAAACAGCATGTTTGACAAATATTGATCTGACCACAGAGAAGTAACTGACCTGTAATTATAAGCCAAGAACTTGTCCTCTCCCTTGTCTATCTAGCTCTCTTCAGCTCGTTCTGCACTCAAACTTGCAAGGGACAAGCAAGATAGAACGGAGGAAAGACTAAAGATCAGGTGTTGATGCTCAAACTGGGAATGGAAGTTGCAGTTGCAGGGAGGTGCTCATTTATAAACGCAGAAGCAGCTGCTTGGCTGCCTCCAATGGCGAATGCTTGTCACTGGACACTAGGTAGACACATATTTTTGCTTTTGGCAGCCCACCTTTTTGGCATGCCAAGCAACAAGAGACCCAGTGGCACGCACTTGCATGAAGGACGGCCAGGCACTGCCCCTCCAAGAGCAGACAGCCCCTGCAAGAGTCTTGTTTAATCTTGGGTTGGCCCCACCTGCAGAAACTGCTGCTAATATTAATTAACAGTGCTCCTACTAGCTCAGGAGGAGGAGTGCATTTCAAACAGTGCGTGTGCACTTTGTGTGTGATGCAAAACTATACAAATGTTTCCATGTGACATGCATGGTGTTGCCCTGATCATTGGCATGCCCAAATGCAGGATATGGATATGCATGTACCATGCATTGCTTCAGCCTCCAGCTCCATTTAGTACTAGTATAGCTTTGGAACTTTGTGTATGTATGTGCAAACAAGCAAGCAAGCAAGCAACAACCTAGTAAGATGGAGCTGTCAGATTGTCACTGAAAACAAGCAAAGGTCCTACATGGTATGATTCATAATTGAGTTCATATATCCACTTGGCCTGGATGATGCACATTGTATGTACTCCCTCCGTTCCTCAATCTAGTGCGCATAGTTTGCAGCACACGTACCAATGTATGCGCTGGCGGAAGCTTTTGGACGAGAAAGCCCTGAGCCCTCACACGCTTTGTCCCACTCCCAGCCCATGCCATATGTTCCCAAGTAGTACTACAGTACTAGTAGTACTAAGTGGAGAAGGAAGTGGCAGCGTGCCGTTGCTGCGCCGGCGGCGTGCCCTCGTAACTCGCTGGACGCGGAGACGCCGGCCGAGGACGCGGCAACGCCGGCAGCGACGAAGGCATGCTAGCCGGGGACAGAGTTACATCGGAGATGCCGACCGCGGACGTGGGCATGCAGGCCGTGGATGCGGTGACACCGGAGACGCCGACGGTGGACTTGGTGACGCCGGGGTCGTGTCAGGGGGGACGCACTAGGTTAGGACTTGCCAGAAGATCGCGGTGTCAAGCTAGTCAACGAGCAGTCAAAGACGCCGGCGGGAGCCAACCTTCCGTTGTGGTCAACGTGGGCAAAGGGCATGCCTCCTGTGTGTACAGGGCGTCCAGCCAGCCCCTATCGCCGCCATTGTCAGGCGGCTCCCCATCTTCTTGCCCGTGGCACCATACATCATCTTCTTCCTCCATCTTGAACTTCCACCACCGCTGCTTGAGTCCCGCTGGGCCGCTGCAGTCCTGACCACCCGGACGGCCGGCATCGCCTTCTCCTACGGCGGCACAAGCATCCTCCTCTCCACCCCCCGCCTCCTCCGTCCATCACGCCACTGAACGCCGCGGCGGCGCCGCCTCCACCACCTCTGACCTCTTCCCCCGCCACGATCTCTTCAAAGGATAGCAGTCGCGTGCGCTAGGCGAGTAGATCGGCGATGTGGAGTTCAATCGAGATGCATCTGCGGGAGGAGGGGATAAAGCGAACAGAGGAAGGAGCGAGCGGAGGGCGAAGCGCGTCCTTGCGGTCTGGGGATAGAATCGTCCAGAATGGCCCACGGGTGCTAATGCGCACTACAAAGTGGAATTTTCGTCAAAATTTTATACGCACTAGATTGAGGAACGGAGGGAGTACATGTGTTTGTCCTACTACCTGTATTAACTATTGACCCCCACATGCACTGTACATTTGACATCTCTGCATATATTTGCTGTATATCAATTGCATGGAGATCTAGTATACGATATAGGGGCATGCAGACAGGTTCTTGCCCAACTGTTGCATGGCATGGCGCCTCCTGTCCTGACAAATCAAAAGGCTATTTTCAAGGATGGTAGCAACAGTTTGTGTGTTGGCATTGCATGAAAACCAAGCAGGCAGGCAGAAACTGAGATGAAGGAGAAGATAAAGGCTGATGCAGACACATCCCTTGCAGAGGAAGCATCAAAGCATGCATGCATGTCTGCACTGGTACTACTATTAAGTTTGGCTTTGCATAATATATTTCAGTTAATTATAGGGGTTTGCTTCATCAGCCACATTACTTGGGAGTAGGTAAATGTCTTCACCGAAGGCCAAACCAAGAAAGAAATGCAATATTCAGGCAGTTGCTTAGCATTACAACAGTGATTAGTATTGCTAATAGGAGCATACTACTGATTAAAAAGCCTAAGCAAGGGGACGGATAGTCCAAGGGACAAGACAATGGAGCACGCTTTGCCGGTGGAGAGAGGCGCAGCCGTACGGCGCGGTGGGGGCCAGAGGGAGGCACTCCAGCTTTCTCGGCTTTCTTTGGGTCTTCTCCCTAGTGCAAAGGCTAAACATGGATGGATAGATAGATAAAACTTGTCCCTCACCAGCAAAGCATTTTGATTTTACTGAGGGCTATCTTCCGAAACTGCAAAACGGGCCCTGGTCTCTCGGGTCCCATTTGCAAAATGACTGAAAACATCATTTAAAAGTTTTAGAAGATTATGAAATAGTTTGTACATTTATATTTGCATTCTTACTAAGTGCATGTAATTTTCATACAAAACTATGTTTATTTGAGGCTACAAAGAGAAAAAGAAATGTCTATAACAGATGCATTGTTAACTACTATTATAGACACAAAACAATTCTTGCGCAACCCCCTATAAGGATCCTGACTACGTACCCCCTATAAGGTACTTGAGGGCAATGGTTGGAGGAGTCAGTGACTGAGCTTACACATACGACAAAGAGGGGCTAACATGAAAATTAAGATGCACAAATTCAACAATTTATGAAGATTAACTTGAAGTTTAACTCACTTAAATATATACATCAATCCAGGCACGAGGAACATATAGATAGGAAGACAGCTATAGCGAGCAAAACCCCGATAAAAATTCTCCACAACACTAGCCAACACAAAGAAAAAGAAAGAGAAAGCAAAAGCAAAACCATGGATCATATGACCCAAAAAATCCACATTACCATGCACAAATATCCAATCTATGCACACAATAATCCATGGCTTATCCTCCGCTTTGATCTTGTCCTGAAGCCCATGAATTGAAGTGTAGGTTTGGTCAAAGACTCTGCTATTATGTTCTCACCAAATAAACCTAACAGCCAGTATGAATGGGGAATCCAGAGTTCTTTTGCTAGCACCTGGGGACCTTGACCATGCACTAGTCCACCATTCTCCATGAACCGAGCCTAAACCCGAAACCCTAAAACCCTTAAAGCACTTAAATATGTACTCTAATTATCAGTATCAAGTGTGTCATTTTGGCATAACCAAATAGTCGAATAGTTAAGCACTACCCCTTCCCCAACCCACTCTTCCACGCTGGCAAACCAAAAATGTGTGGAATAGGAGGTCACATTCGACTATTTGTTCATGCCAAAATGGCACTACCCCTCCCCAACCCACTCTTCCACATTCGACATAGGATTAAGATTTTTTTGTCAAACGAAATAGGTGGCCTTTGGTTGTGCAAGTATATTGTGGACGCCCTTGTAGAAAGTTGAGTTTCTAAAATATATTGATCAATGGAGCAAGTGTATGGAAGCAATGGTAATGGCATTATTTTATTATCGGTTCATTGAATTCAAGGAGGTCACTTGGTGACGTCAACTCTTCATAGCTCGATGTTCTCTGATTCCATTTTAGCTCCCCCTTATTTACCATAAGTTTGTTCTTTGCTTCCAAAATGTTCAAACTTTGCATCGACCTGGTTATTTTTCTTAAACTTTTGAGTTGAAAGGCATTGTTCCTTCTATAGAAAAAATGAGAGTCGATCATTGGGGACACCGGTGTACATTAGGACAACCAACAGAAAAAAAAAACACAACCCCCTCTCAAAGCACCACCCAGCCAACCACAAGTTGAAAGCCCGAAGCAGCCTCACAAACCCAACCAAGCCTAGAATCAGGAACAGATCACATACAAATGTAGAAACTGAACAAGAAAGAATCGCTATTTAGTGAAGAGGAGATGGTCAGGAAGGTGGAGAAAATTGTGCAAATGGCTTGCAGCTTACATCTTGGTCATGGTGTGTTTTTCTCAAACTTCATAATAGATGACGGTGGGATGGTTGCGTGCATGAACACTTCTAATGCCGATTCGAGATGAGGAATAAATTTCTCGCTATAAAATAATACATCTTTAGGATGTGGAATCTAGGCTGTTGTACGAAAGTTCCCTTCACTTTTATAAATGTTTTGAATATTTCAATATAAACTACATACAAACTAAAATGAATAAACAAACACACTAATATGCGTTCATATACATCTAAATTGGAAAAAAAAGTTAGAACATCTTATAATTGGAAACGAATGGAATAGTTGATAGCATGCCGTTTTGCACTAATTTTGTAGCCGTGCATCTTTTATGGCCAACAGGTAGGAAACAGGAACAGTAGAAGCTTTGTAGGTTGCGGAGAAAGCCACCTCACCTCCCTTGCATACTTCTAAAGTGGTAAAGGCCAAAAGGTACGGCAAGCTCTCTCCCATGGCGGTAAGAAAAGGTCCTTTCGTCAGGGGCTTAGGCGCATTTTTTTTCACCTATCACTCCATGATTTTCACGACATGAAAAAGAGACGTTGTTTCCTC